GGTTCAAATATTGAGGAGGGATAAAGGAGGAATTCCAAAATAACAACAATGATCCGGCCGGGTGGAGTCAAATGATGATTTGAACACACGCAGCGTGGGGAGATGCACACTGCAAAACATCAGCTGTAGATCTCCGCCCAAAAAGACACTTCAGATTGCTTTTGATTCATCAGGGTTAACGCCCCCTCATGCGTCACCAGATACAATACATGCATACGTCAAATCAAAACCACAAGGACTTTTAACACAGTTTGAAAAGAACATTGTCTCCGTCTCCACGGCAGGTGCTTCCTGTCCATCTTCTGACTCTCGCTTCTCCAAAACCTCGGGCCATGCTCTGCAACAAACTAGCAATTCTGCACGCACAAAAATGCAGTTGCAAGCAAATATATCTGAACTCTCACCTCGAACATAAGCCTACCTACAGTGTGTGCAGGTGTATGTGTGTATGTGTGTGTGTGGCTCGACCTCACACAAACTTTGTCTTATGAGAAGAGAGGCCAATTCTCATGTGCATAATAACCTAACTGAAACTATATCTGTAATATGTTGAATAAATGTTTTAATCAAGAACCTCTACTAAAAGCTTAATCAAAAGATATAAATGAATAAAAGACAATAATGAATAACCTGGTTATTCAAATAGCATCCTCCCAACAGCTCCTCAAAGTAACTCACACTTAGACTCTGCTTTAGTTTCACTTTCACAAACACGCTCTGCAAAAGCCTGCGCTTCTTGTCTACTTTGGCACAGAGCGTACTCAGAGTTAGGCCTTTCTTTTATAATGCAATGTAATCTGCATATAAACATTTAAGATTATAAAAAGCATTCAAAAGCATTTAAGATTATAGATTCAACTCAACAGTTTAAAGTGGTTATCACTGCACCTGTAATAAAGGCTAATTGGGTGCCAATATGTTTAAACATCTGAATGCAATAACAATACTGCAGATTGTATTATTAATGCAATGGTAATGATGATGATTATGACCAATAGCAGCAAAATATTTTTCTAATCCCCACAATATATTAATATCTTGGCTGGTTCAGATCTATGAAGTGGTGTTATTGATGTTGTGGGACTCAAAAATAAGAGGGAAGGTCTCAGTTTGCTGGTTTGGAATGACCAGACAAAGGTTAATGAATAATCAATAAAATACAGTGATTGAAGAGGCAGAGTGACGTACCCGTAAAAAGGACATCTCCTCCATCCAGTGTCGCATTCTCATCAGTCATTTCCACAATGTTCAGATTTAAATCCTTCAGAGCCCCTTTCATTGCCTCCGTCTGGCAGAAAAACAAGGACACAAACAGAATTAAAGTTAAAACATGTGTGCACATAAAAAAAACAAACAGAACTGTGATGACTTACAGTAAACTACTTCAGCATTTCCTAATATTATGATATGATCCAGGATCTAAATACTGGTTCACGAGATTGTTTGTAATGAAAAAAACTCTTTTATCCCCAACAGATTATGGTGACATTACAGTGAGCCATGAAATGATGTCATTTTGTAAGAAGTGCGTTAAAACTTTTACAAGGCAGAAGTTGTGGAAAAATAGGTACGGTGAATGACCAGCACAAATTTAGCACAAATACTTCCTGCTGTCCTTCTGTTCTGGGTCATCTGTCTTTAATACGCTTAAAAGGAAGGGAATGTAAGGATGGCTGCCACCTGGTGATTATTAGCATATATAATGGAATACATCTCCCTCATGGAATATTACGGGAAATCCACACTTCACCTGTATGTCCCCTCTGCTGAACTCAAAACCTGGGGGAAAGAGCTGGTCTGTTTTTGGCTCAACCTTCAGCTAATCCCCTCTCTTGTCTGACCGCCCAGTGCGATTTTACTGTCCTGTTTTTTGGGGTTCCTGCGGGAGTAGTTTCCAAGGCCAGTCATGTTAGCAGGAGCATCAGTGTTTCCACAGGCCCTATCTCACTATGACCTCAGCCTGGCCACTATAATGCCTTTGTTTCTCTTCAACTGCAGAAGGCCAAAGCATGAGGTCATCCAGGTAGACTGCCATGTGCTTCCAGATAACACTGGGGAGGCCTGCAAATACACAGATTTACCTTCTCACCTGCGCATACATCGGCAGTGGTGCACAAAGGCATCCAAAGCAGGTGTACTGGAATCGCTAGCACCTAGCAGGACATTTGGACAACTAAGTGGCTTTATGGCCCGGTGATTCACAACCCGAATGGCAAACTTCCAATCCACTCACTTTCCAGAAGTGGAATCCTCCGTGTTTCGTCTATATTGCATGTTCATCTCAGTTAACCAGGAGGAACACAGCGTTCTTCCAAGAAACTGGGGTTCACAAATTCATTAGTGGTTTCTTAAAAGCTCTGACAGCAAAAGCGTGCAGTACATAAAGAGCTGTATAGGTAACAGTTAATCCCATTCATTTTTCTTTGTGCGTTGCCAAGCCACACTCTGCTTTCTATTTAATTAGGTTTGTAGATGGGTTATGTGAGAAATAAAAGGTTGAGTCAGGTCCCGAGGAACGATCCAGATGGGTGAGAGACATCTTGTGCTTTTGATGTTTATTCGGTTCATGTGTTATGCTGCCTTTGTGTGTCATGGCGTTGGAGTCTTGGCATGTCCTGGCAAAGTTTTTCCTTGTGCCATCACCAATTCATCACACATAATAAAACTTCAGTCAAATGAGTCAATTCAGACACTGATTGATATGGTTGGAAAAAACCCTGTTAGTGATGCCAGGTCTGCACACCAAAGCTGAAAAGAAGTGACTATTTATATATGTAAGCAGGCATACTTTTTACCTACTGGGCCTCACATACCAGCCAGTGTTTCCTTCTTATATAAGGCATCCCACTACCTCAGTACGCTGGCATTTCCTCTGGAATCACTGGAGATGATGTGACCTGACCCAAAGGGTCCCCAATCACCACATGAACCATAATGGCCCCCATGAAGTGAAAGCATCTGCCCTGTGGGCTGTGCTGTTCTGTGTGTGGCACATGTGGACATAGAAGCTCACATGACTGAATTACATTTCAGTACAAATGGAAAACAAGAATAAAAAGTGGTTTTGTAGAAAAATCTGACTTCAAAATCTGACTTCAAAAATATAATGAATTAGTAACATGTCACCACAGATATATTCCTACCCAAAGATGGCAGGCTACAGACATGTTTTCCTTTAAATCAGTGGCGTAGGTACAAATGTTTTCTGTATTTGGAGACTTTGGCCAATCACAGATCTTCACAGTCAAGATTAGGGGAGTATTACCAAGTCAAGAAGGGAAACAACTCTATGTAGGAGCAGATTAAAAAGGGGACTGCCGTCTGGGACAATGGGGTTTGAATCGTGAGGTTCTCTGATGGGAGAAGCAGGCTTGCTTACAAGTCCAGAGTGACTTGGGAGATATGGCTTTCAGAATATCTGCAGGTGGAGAGCATCACAGAGCCCACACTACAGATTGGCCCCTGGCAACATAAAAAAATTGAACAGGTAAAACTGGGATGCTCTGGATTTTAGCCACTAGTTTGGGGCAAAATGCTTATACTTTTGACGAAATGCTTTTCATAACATTCAGATACAAAGAAAAGTGTAGTTAACACTCCAAACATGTTGTTGCAACTCATTTAAATCAATCAATCAATCACTCATATTCTACAAATAATAATAAATATTTCAGGTCCTTTGGATTCAGTCTTGCTTGGGTTAGAAGTACCGTTCTCAAAAGAAGCACTACAGTGACAATAAACACATGCACCTGTTTGTGTGTGTTTGTGTGAACTAGGGCTGCCACGATTAGTCGACTAGTCACGATTACGTCGACTATTAAAATCGTCGACGACTGATTTAATAGTCGACGCGTCGTTTGAAGCTTTGTAAGATCACAAAAGACGCAGGAATAATAGCAGGATTTAAGAGTGTAATAACGGACTGAAACAGAAGATGGCAGCACTGCATGTACAAGGATGCCAGCTGCCGTTAAACCCCGAAGAAGAAGAAGTAGCTCCGTCCCAGAATTCATAGCGCAGCCCAGCTCTGTTGTCAACAATGGCGGCAGCTAGTTAGTTTTTATATTACTCTTATTATTCTTTCCGGGTCACAAAATAAACGTTTAACATATTTTCAGGCGAGAAAGTAGCTGTGTAAACCTCAAATATCTGCTCAGTTTATCAAGACACCACATATTTTCAAAAGCGCTCCGACGTTTTCGGAGACGTCTGTTACCCACTAGCTTGATAGCTAGCCGGGGGCTAGGCTAACTAGAGCCGTGAGAACACCGGACTCCCGGCAAATCGTTTTCAAACCCACTGCCGTCACTTAGCTTAAAATGTTATTGTTTGGCTTTTTTTTTAGTATTTTATTTGTTCCTGAGTAAATCGGTTTGGCTGAGATTAAAGTTATAGTTTTTACACAGCTGAATAAACGTCAAGCAGACAGCTGATTATCAGAAGTGTGAGATGCTCAAGAATTTACTCCGGTGTCCTGTTATATTTTAGATAGCAAGGAGTTTATTAAACTTCACCGAAACAATCTGCAAACTTCATTAAACTTTAATAAACTATCATCTTGTCTTTATTTTTAATTAGCACTTAACTTAAACACTTAAAGCTGTAAGCTAATGATAGTTATATAAGAGCAGATGCTGCTGGTGCAATAAGCTGTACGCTGTATGTCCAATGGATGATGATGTGATTAGTCGACTAATTGCAAAAATAGTCGGTGACTAGTCGACTATCAAAATAATCGTTTGTGGCAGCCCTAGTGTGAACGTGCATTCATATCTTTGTGGGGACCAAAATCCCGGTCCCCACAATTTGAAGGCATTTTTCAGACTCAAAATGTGGATTTAGCATCAGGGTTACAATTAGGTTATGGTTAGGTTGAGGGTTAGACATTCATTTTTGATGGTTAGAGTTAGGGTAAGGGGCTAGAGGAAGCATTATGTCAGTTAGATGTCCCCACCAGATATGAAATACCTGACATGCGTGTGTTTGTGTGTGTATAGATTTTCTATGAGCTTTGGTATTTCAAAACACCTCTCTGTTGGCAGCGGCAGGAAGTTTTTCTTGGCTCATGTGCGGCCCGCTTTCACATCTCCATCTGTCTTCTGCTTATTGTTGATGGCCGGTTTTGAGGTTCCCTTCAGCCTGTTGTAACAAATTCATTTGCGTAATATATTTGTGTATATATCTGTGCATAACCAGGAGTATAAAATCCCTTTTTCTGCTCTCATAAAGACTGGTAGGAGCAGCGAGGATTCTGTTTTGATATGGTAACCTGCAATTTATGTCTCGAGGCTTTATTTTTATACATCGCAGCTGTATTCTGAGACGTTAGAACTTAAAACACGTGTGGTACACATGATTACATTATACTAAGCGGTTTCTAAATCTTAAATCTCTGTGTCTGCTGTAGGTCTACTGGAACACAGCTAAATTATTCACCTTGTAATTTTGCTTGTGTTTCTTTAGATAGTGGCATGAGGTGTTTCTTTTTGAGATCTTTGAACCTGCTTCACTTTGTCACACAGGTTCTGATTAAGTGATTTCTGGATTCAACAGGTCTGCCAGTAATCAGACCTGAGTGTTTAGTGAAACTGAACCCAGCTTTCCAAAAAACATGGATAATCACAGTTAATTCATGATTTAACAAGAGGGGCAAATACTTTTTCACACAGGACCAGGATGTTCTGGATAACTTTTCTCCCTTAATCAATTAAATCATCATTTAAAAACTGCATTCTGTATTTACTTGGGTTATCCTTGTCTAATATTAAAATGTCTTTGATGACCTAAAACATGCAAGTGTGACAAAATATTAGGAAATCAGGAAGGGGGCAAACACTTTTCATACCACTGTTGTTCAGTGCTTAACTCAGTATGAAGCCCCGCCAAAAAAAGGTTTACTGCCACTGTACACACAGCAAAATCATAATTGATATCTGGTGTGCCATTTCTTGCCACGCTGGCTCTCCCTTTGAGACAGATGTCGATTCGGCTCTGTGACCAGCCGGTTGAAAGGCGTAACAATAATGCCGTCCCCATTCCTTTTCTGTACCTTTCACACAGACCGTCGAGGCAGAATAAAGGTGCAACAGTCCCGCCTTAAACGGGCTCTGTGAAAGGGGCTTCTGTCTCTCACATTCCCTCTATTCTCTTTAAGCCCTCGTGGCAGGGTCAAGAATGCTCCTACAGTGACTTCTCATGCAGAGTGGCCTATTATCTCTCACTGTGAGGGACATCCAATACCCGTCCTGCCTAGGTGCCAACTCGCTTTGCCAGTCCTCCTTCTCC